GCTTTGAAAGGTAACTACAAAATGCTGCTTCTAAAGTTTGTTCTAGCAACATTAACACAAGCTGCTAAACATAGCATTAGCACACCTCTTTTATATGGCTGCCAGGTGTTACTAGTACAAACCCCAAAATTTACTTTTCATTAACATCTATTGCCCAGAAAATAACATAATTTTGGTACTGACATCTCCATCACCTTCCTAAAACATATTTGTGCTTTGCAAAGAAGTAACACTCCATGCCAAATTTTCTAAAACTGAGATATGCAAAACCATATAGTGACACCAGGGTGCATACGTAGAAGCTCAGTAAGGTGAGTGATTATGAAGCAAGAATAGTGCAACATTGTAAATGTCATATTGTACATTTGCACTTGCCAAAGCCATGTGTACCATGGTGGGCAATGAAAACATAAATCCATACTGACATAATGCACAAATAAGCCTACCTATTAAAAAATATTACATATGCCTGCTATATCTGATATGGAAGTAATTAAACCTGTGTGAGACACAGTGCAGACGTGCAGGATGACAGCAATGTTCTCTGTGGTCATGTACTGTGACTTCCTATTTTTATGCTGTAATTCAGAGAAATGAACAATCTTCATAGGCAGTGCTGAATAAAAAAAAAAAAGCAAAACCATATAAACAGTGATACCAGGGTGCATACTGTAGAAGCTCAATAAGGTGAGTGATTATGAGAATGAGAATAGTGCAACATTGTAAATGTCATATTGTACATTTGCACTTGCCAAAGCCATGTGTACCATGGTGGGCAATGAAAACATAAATCCATACTGACATAATGCACAAATAAGCCTACCTATTAAAAAAATATTACATATGCCTGCTATATCTGATATGGAAGTAATTAAACCTGTGTGAGACACAGTGCAGACGTGCAGGATGACAGCAATGTTCTCTGTGGTCATGTACTGTGACTTCCTATTTTTATGCTGTAATTCAGAGAAATGAACAATCTTCATAGGCAGTGCTGAATAAAAAAAAAAAAGCCCAAACAAGAAACAGATAAAGTAGATCTACTGATTTTCATCTTTCTAAGAATATTCTAACCTCAGTTCTAGAATGAGATCTGAGCTATGTAATGTACTCCTTCAGCAGGCTGAGCCAGCAATGTAGCACCTTGAATCTGTTTTCACCTCTCTGAAACAGTGATATACCTGCCCATATATCACAGTTTAAACAGGGAATGGTTATAGATACATGGGCTTTTCCTTTTCTTTAAAAATTATTTGCAAATATATAAACCGATTTTACATTAAATGTTTGAAATTAGGCAGAAACAGATTATTCTTCTGCCATATTTTCTGTTTGGAAACATCAGTGTTAGATCCTCCAGTTTTTTCAGGAGGAGGAGTTGCCCCACAGACACTGTAAGCTATCATACCTTAAGAAAAGACCAAGTCAATGAATCAATAGTTAATACATTTTCTTCACACTGTTTGTCTAATGAGCTAATCTGGCATTAGCACAGATGAAATGTGGCAACAATTTTGAGAAGCAAGTGGAAAAACCTGTTTCTGCTCACAATGTTAAGCTAAACCTCTGGCTGTGGTGAAGGTGTCTCTTCACCGGGTCATCAGTCCATAGATCCAGGTTGCTCACCGAAGACATGAGCAGCAAATGACATGAAAAGGGAAATGGCTACAGGCTGCAGTAGTTTTCCCTTTACAAGTTAACACTCAAAATACAGAAACACCTGCATATTTCCCTTCCCAAATGAAAACTCATCCTTTAATAAGTTAATATGCAAGCTATTAACTATTACAAGCTAGCTATTATAGCTATATAATTATATAGAGTATTTTATTATCCTTCAAGTATTATTTTCTCTTCTGTCAAAGTTGTCTACTAACACTATGATTCAGATGCTGCTTTTTTTTTTTTTTTCTAGCCAATATCCAACAGGTTTCACACTGGACATGCTGTCCTAATCTTTTGTTTGAGCACATCCCACTCAGTTCTCTGCACCAGGAGACGTTCCTTACTCTTTCAAAGAAGCATTTTGATCTTGCATCTAAATAGTTTTATACAAAACAGTACCATTTAAGTACACAAAGGCAGCAAAATCCTTTTTTCTCATCCTGTTTACTTTGCTTAAATTCTTTTCTTTTGAACTGGAATTGTTGTATTTTTTCACTGCACTTCAGTTGCTTCATTCTCTTTACAGCTAAAAGCTGGCTGATGATACAGCTTCTTTTTTCAGCTTCCCAGAAAAGAGAGCATGCCTTGACCATGCCCAGTACAATGTTTGCTGACAGAACCTCCCTTTAAAAAATGCACTTCAGCTGCTTTATTAAATGAGTCACCCAAATGCTGGGGGATACTATATAGCAATACAAACTATGACTGCTGGAGTGGGAAAGAAGCAATTTTATGTTGAAACAACATAACAATGTAAGATAATATCATGAAACAACACAACTGTACGTCCAAAACCAAAGTGGCATAGAACCAAAATGTACATCTGCTGCTACATGTGCTTAGCTCTGTGGTAAGTAAAGTCTGAAAACTATTTTTCTTCTTGTTGCAGTGTTAACTGTTTATTCTTTAAAAACCTGTGTGCACACACACAAATACACATACACATTTATAATAGCACCTGCCTCCAAGGAACTTCCCTATCCTTGCTTCAAAAAAACCAAAACATCAGTGTCTACAAAGCTGCCTTACTAACTGAAGAATGATGAAATATTAGTTCTTGTTTCTCAAAGCAACTTGCTTGATTTTATCAATTCTGTATTTTACATTTTTTATTTTCTCAGAGGACTACTGCTCTCCCCTTTCATGGCTAGCATTTCATTTACATATGTGTCATTAGGGGGCTGCAGCTTTTGACAGAAAGCCTTTAACTTGGCTTATATGAACAGAAAGTTTACGTCAGCAGCACTGCCAGTACTATCCAGCCAAGGTATGAAAACTTGGCTTTAGTCTTATTAAAAGAATAATTCTTTTTGTTCTTATTGCTTGGTTTTATTTGCCTGATGGGGTTTTCTGAATACAATTTCAGATTCCAAATAAATGTAGCTCAAGCAGTATTACAGCATCAAACAAATTTACACCACATGCCTTTTTATCCAGCTACTAATGTAAGTTCTAAGCAGACCCAATGGGCAATATTTGGTTTCCCTGGGGTTTTTTACTTGTGTTAACTACCTTGGCTAGAAGTGAATGAGATTCACATTGTTCTACACCAACACAATTTGTTTACGGATAAACTTATGGTACTCTTTTTTATATAATTACCTTTCTTATCCTGAAATAAAATACTGCTACCATCCAAGAGATTACAGTGGTGAATAAAAGGTAACCACGGGTAGGAGGTAGGGTGTGTAATTAGGTTAGTAATCTGCAGTCATGGTGGACGTGGCACTATGACTGCACAAGATCATTGTGTAGCAAATGACAATTAGAGATACAACTGAATCCTAAGCGTTCACAGAAATGCAGGCTTCTCCCATAAACTATCTGTGAGTCTTAGGCAGAGGTCCATAAAGGTTACAATAAAACCTAGGTTCAAAGTTTTTGAATGGCTCTTCCCTTCCTACCCAGTGTTCACAGTAGGAATCTTCCCTGTGCTGCTCTGTTTGGTTGAGAGGGATGGTCACTTAGGAATTCACCAATACTGAGTCAACCACAGGACTTTTCTTCAGAGTGAGAGAAAACAAAATGACCAAAGAAAAGCCCACAAAAGCTCCACACTGAAGTTGATCCCATGGGTGCACAGGTGCTTCATTGTTCATATGTGATGGCCAGTGGTTGAAACTACTGGATGTTATCTGTCCGCAGCAAATACTTGCAACTCAAACAACAGAGGCTTTTTTCTCCTATGGGCTTCCTAAAAAGTGTTGCCAAACACAAACTCTTTTGAAAACCTCAGACATATTCATTTCATCCAAAAAATGTTACCTGTCTACAGCCATATCTCAACTTTTTTCCTCTTCTGGAATATTTTCTGAGTGCAGTGGCCAGCCAAGCACTGGGGTATTTTATGGAACTCCTCCAGTGGTATTACAGTAATAGTACAGTAAGGTATTCAGCTCTGGGGTCACCAGCACAACAAGGTCATGGATCTGCTGCAGCAAGTCCAGACAAGGTAACCACGATGATTAAAGGGATGGAGCACCTCTCCTACGAGGAAAGGCTGAGAGAACTGGGATGGTTCAGCTTGGAAAAGAGAAAGCTTTGGGGTGACCTAATTGCAGCCTTTCACTACCTGAAGGGAACCTACAGGAAAGAGACAAGGGAGATGTATTTACAAGGGCACGTAGTGACAGGACAAGGGGGAATGGCTTCAAACCAAAAGAAAACGTGTTTAGATTACATATTAGGAAGAAATTCTTTACTGTGAGGTTGATGAATCACTAGAACAGGTTGCCCAGAGAAGCTGTGGATGCCCCATCCCTGGAAGTGTTCAAGGCCAGGTTGGATGAAGCTCTAAGAAACCTGGTCCCTGACCAAGGCAAGGGGGTTGGAATGCAATGATCTTTAAAGTCTCTTCCAACCCAGATCATTGTGTGATTCTATGACAGTAACGCCGAAAAGCTCTGCCCTTTCTAATGAAATCAGTCGAGTCTCCTGCCCAAGTTTCCCCTGCGGTTGTGGAATTACCAGCCACCCAACATTTTCCCGCTGCAGCTGCTGCCGCTGCCAGCTCTGCCTTCCTTTCCCCTGGCGCTCTACATCGCTCTGCAGCTCACCTACCGCCCGGATCCACGGGTACCTGCGGCCGTAGGGATGGATCGGGGGATAGAGGGGACACACACACACATCTGGAGCCGCCCGGGAAAACTTCAGCTGCGCTGCCCCGCACGGGAGGCAGCCCCACGATTTCACCGTGACCCCCCTGGCTTCGAACCCGGCAGGCGGGAGGGCGGCGAGACCCCCGCGACACGCACCCCACCCCGCCTCCCACCTGGCAGCCGCCCCGCCGCCAGGGCCTCCGCCACCGGCGGGGGCACCGGGACGGGCGGCGCTACCTTTGGGTCCCGTTGCGGCGGGAGAGGAGCCGCTGCTTCTCAACGCCGAGGTGCCTCCTGAGCGCGGGGGCCGAGGGGCGAAGCGTGCCCGGGTGTCCCCCGAGCGGCCGCGGCTGCCGGTGCGGTGCTCGGTGCGGCGCTCGGTGCGCGGCGCGGGCGGAGCGGTGCGACAGCCCCGCGGCGGCCCCGCGCCCGTTGCCATGGGCACAGCGCCCGCCCCCCGGAGCGCCGCCATTGGCCGGCGCTGACCCCTCGCGGGCGTCGCGGAGCGCCCCGATTGGCCCGGCCGGCCCCGCCGGCGCGCCGTGACGCGCGCGCGCCGCCGAGCAGGGACGTGGCGGGGCCGCGGGGGCGGGGCCGGGCCGGGCCGCGCGCCGCTGACGTCACCGGGGGCGGGATACGGGATCAGGGATATGAGGGATGAGGGACGAGGGAGGGATTTGGGTGTTCGGTGGGTCCCCTGTATCCTCCGAGGGAATGCTGGCACTGTCCTTGCACCTCGGGAGACAACTCGCGCCTTACGCCCCGTGGTACCCTCTGCGAAGCTCTCCGTCGCAGTAAATCGCTGCTGTTCCCTGTCCAGGCGTGAGCTGGGATGCAGAAATTCGAAAATGTATCTTCGGGCACACTTCTTGTTTTTCCTGTTTCTTTTCACTCATTTGAGCCTTCAGACCTGGTTTTCCCTTCCTCTTAGGGGAGAAAAGTCTTAACATCCATGCAGATCAAACAACTTAGGAAATTATTTTCAGCTTGCACATTTGTGTAAGGTTTGATTCGTGTATTTCCATTCCTGCCTGGTTTCAGAGTATGGTATCTGGGTGGGGGTTTTTTGGCAATTATTTTCTGTATGCTCTAGGCGTTTGTTCTGCACTAGAAGTGCTCAGAAAATACTCAGAAAAGTTGGTTTTAGTGGGTAGGTAAATGGTAGCTGTGATAGCAAATGCACTGCACTTCCTATGGAATACCAATTTCTGGAATAAGCAGTGATGGTGTCTCAATACTGTGAGCCTGTACTCCCATTTAAAGAGATGTATTGATATGTACAAATTACTGAAGAACTTCTATCACTGTGCATTGTATTTCTGTTACTCTAACTTACAAGATAAGCATCTACAAGTTAATTTTTTTTAAGAAACTGTTGCAATAGTTTATACAAATCAGAAGCAAAAATAAATTATCGTGGGATTTACTAGGGAAGAAACTCAAAACTGCCACAGGGTTGAGACTTAGTTATAATGGGTCCAAAGTGGTGGTTGAAATTGTAGCTTCTGGGTTACGCAGGTAAAATAAAATGGGGCTGTAAGCTGTCTATGATGACATCTGTGGTAACAAAGCTGTTAAAGTAATAGGGCTGACACTACTTGGATGTTTCCCTCTCTCAAGAAGATACTGTTACAGACTAGAAAATCATTTTCCTATGCTACAGTTGACTTTAGAAACAGAGTTTTGGGGTCAGTCAGCATTCTTTACTGTCAGCATTCTTTACAAGTCAGTTTCTTGACTGTCATTTTGGGGACCTGGAAGCACTGGAATTTAGTCAGCTGCAGGCAGTTTGTGGCCTGAAAGATGCCCCGATGTGGGAGAAGGAGGAGGATTGTGGGGGCTGAGGTCCCCTCTCTTGGGTCTCGCTCCCACCTGCCGTGCTGCCTGTGTGAGACTGGTTGTCCCTTGGGCACAGGGACCACCCGCTATCTCCCCTCAGGAGCCATTGGCTCCAGCGCCTTCCTCATCCTGTGCCTGGGGTCCCCTCAGCGACACCGTGGCAACAACATTCTGAGGGGGTCAGGGGTCCTCAGTGACACCCCTTCGACGCAGCATCCCGTGCTGGACAGTGGATGAGAGGGGGCGAAGCATCCGGACATGCCACTGGAGAAGGGAAAGAAGGAAAGGGAGGTGAGCACTAGAACTGCCAATTGCCAAGCATTGCATGGACTCTTCTTCCCCGTGCCTCGGCTCCGCCCTTGGAGCGTGGAGAGCACAAAGCCCGAGGGAGAGGCGGGCACCTGGGAGTGGGGATGGGTTTGGTCAGAGGTGCACCCTTACTCTTTGCCTGTATGAAGGACAAAGCTTTTGTGGCCTCTTGTTTGCCCATTCCAAGAAGGAGCTCTCTCTGCCTTGTTGGAAGAATTGGAGGCAGGTCCTTTGTGGGAACCTTCCAGCAGGTTTCCAGGAAGAACCTGCCCTTCTCAGATGCCTGCCAGAAGGTGGCTTGAAGGCACATTGCAGGGCAAGGTGACATCACTGAACACCCAGCACAGCTTCCCCAAGGACAAGCTGTGGCAGGACCAACATGGGCTTTGCTTGGAGGAGTGTCCTCATGGGACAAGGGGAGAGCAGTGACAGCTGTTTACTGTGACTTTAGCAAGGCTGTGACACAGCCCCCCACAGTGTCCAGGTGGGTGAGGCACAGACAGGAGAAGGGGACTCCTGTGCAGTGTGCCTTGTGCTCAGCAGAACAGATTGTGGGAAGTAAGGGCAATGGTGCGCACAGCAGGAGGGACAATTTTTTTCCTCCTCCACTGCCTCTGCTTCCTCCTCCCACTGTTCCTTGGTAACCTTGACCCTCCCAGCCGTCCCACCTGGGTTATGGTAGGGTGGGATGTGCTTCCCAGGACCTGGAGCAGCAGGGCACTGGTACAGGGAGGATCACGTTTGGGACCCTGGAGGTGACCTGTTGGAGCTGCTCCCCTCCATGCCTGCAGCTCAGCAGAGTTTTCCTTGGATGCTGCCTTTGCAGAAGAGCTGGGAGATACTTAATACAAATTAGAGATGTGGTTCAGGCAGGTGGGTGGTGCCAGGGGTCTGGAGCAAAGCCCTTCTGCTGGTGGTGCCAGAGGTTTTGAGGCTGGTGTTAGTGCACGCGTGTGCGTGGCCAGTGCAGTGTGTCCGTGTGCAGGATGGGTGCAGTGAGGATCAGGGTGACTGTTAATTGGTTTTCCTGGAGATGCAACTGTTCTCCAGCTATCTGTCTCCTCTAAAATAGTTGGGGTTATTCAGCCTGGAGAAGAGAAGGCTCCACAGAGATCTTACAGCACCTTCCGGTACCTAAAGAGGGCCTACAGGAAAGCTGGAGAGAGACTTTTTTGCAAGGGCGGGTAGTAGGGTAATAGTAACAGAACGAGGAGAAATGGCTTTAAACTGTAGAAGGGTTGATTTAGATTTGAAAGAAGGAGGAAGTTTTTTACAATGAGGGTGGTGAAACAGCGGTGAAACAGATTGCCCAGAGAAGTTGTAGATGTACATTTAGATGTAGAGGTCAGGTTGAATAGGCTCTGAGCAACCTCATCTAGTTGAAGATGTCCCTGCTCACTGCAGAGGGGTTGGACTAGATACTCTTTAAGGTTCCTTCCAATCCAACTCCTTCTATGATTCTGTGATATTGTAGTTTTAGAAACAAATAACCAGCTGCTGAAGGATAATAATTTCTTTTTTTTCCTCACAGGCCCCATGCTGTTGTCAGGCCTGCTGCTTGAGTGGAGAAGATTTCAATCACATCTTTAACTGTTTTCAGGTTGTTTTCACCCTCTCCCAATCACAAGCTGATAAGTACTGTAGCCTAGTTAATCGTGCTACTTATTTTTCTCTCTCCAAAAACTATGTGGCTATTTCATGTCAGGCTCCTTTAACTGCTTTAACTGAAGGGTGGAGAACCTCTGGGTAGGGTGGATCCCCAGCTTTCTGGGGCTGTGTCAACAACCCCTCCAATGATGGTAACTCTTAAACTGTGCTAAGGCACATGGAAAATGAGGTGATTGCTAACAGCCAACATGGCTTCACCGGGGCAAATCATGTCTGACAAAGTTACTTTAGTAACACAAAAGGAGATGTATTCAGAGAAACAGGCACAATCTTCCTCTAAAATACTTTGAGTTAGAACTGGGGCAAGACCATTCAGAAGGCAAGTATAGAGTAATTTGAGGGAGAACTGTTCTAAAGGTGCAGAAAAGTATTAATGCTGGTACAGGACACGAGGATAATCTTAGACTTGAAGCAACATGGAGAAATCACAAAGAGAGGACAGAAAAGGAATGATATCTTGTGTAAGAAGGAGGTAAGACTTGTAACTTGGTGCAAGCAATTTTGATACTCTTAACTGAAGAGAGGGTGCCTTGAAAATGAGATGATAATAACGGACACCAAGAAAAACAGGAAGTAAAAAGTAGGGTACTGTGGTTGCAGCAGGAAGTGTATCACTTACAGCACTTTTTTGGCTTCTCATTTCCAGTAATGGAAATACTCTTTAAAAGTAGAACAGAAAGTCTTGTGGTAATGGACATATAGGGCATATGTATGACACAAATCTCACATGCAGCAAGAAATAATAGAAATGTCTCATTAAAGGAAAAGGTAGCAATTGATTTCTGATGCAGTTTTTATTTGATTTCCCATGCAGATCAATATTTCTTTACATTTTATTGTATTTTTTTTTAACTTATCTGCAGTTTCTATAACGCCATTCTCTCCGCAAAGCAGATAAGTAGCATCTGAATTTTTGGCAAAGGCTAAGTATCAACCAGATATTTACAAGATTGTGGTAGTAATTTTAAGAAATGCCTGTCTTTTAAAATTATATCTGCTTCTGTCTTGTTGTAATTATATGTGTGTGATTATCACTCAGTTATTGCAGGGCGAAAAGGAGCAGTCAACATGTGGGCTTTATTCTTGTGATGCTTAGGGGTTTTGGGACTTTATTTACTGTTATTTTTTATAAACCTTGGAGTAACGTGGGGTGGAGAGAAGTCAGCAGTGATGTTTCCCAGGAATTTATATCAGGTCTCTGTGCTTCAGTGTTATCATAGATGTTCCCAAAGAGGGGTACAAAATGATGTGAGAAAGTTTGCTGATGACAGGGAATTACTTAGAGCAATAACATTGCAAGTAAAGCTTTTACTTTGGATCTGCAGAGTATCTGATGATACTCAGTAGCTGAGTGATGAAGCAATAAATTATATGTTAGTAATGTAAACTGATTTGCCTTGAAGAAATGGCAGTCTTGGCTTTTTTAACCCAAAATGGCAAGCTTTGGACTAGCTCTCTTACTGCTCAGATAGTGGATGTGTAATAAGAAGGTTCTGTGAAAACATTAGTGCAGTGCTTAGTGGAGGTCAAAATAGCAAGTATTAGGAGGAATGGAATTGCTAGGAAAATAATAGTATGAAAGGAAAAGAATTGTTATATTGTGGCATAAATCCATTGTACATCTCTATGGTAAGTATGACATAAAGGTCTACCCTTGTAAAGTAAAGAGTGGCATGATGAAGAGAAAATGGTCACTATTTTTCATAACACAGGAAAAAAGCAATGCAATCATGTGGCAGATTCAGAGGTACATGCTGAACATTGCTACCTGTCTTCCCTTTGTATCGCATGCTACAATTTCTCAACCATCATCTGCTCTTTGAATTTATCCCACCTTTTGGATTGCAAATCAAAGTTAAAGTATAAGCTTTCTAACTGCTTTGCAGAGAAAGATGAGGTAGGATCTGATTTATCTTTAAGAGATTAAAGTCCAGGGCACACTTTTCCCTTTCCTATGCATGTTGTGAAAAGTGCAGTTTTGCTCTTTAGGCACTGTGGATGGAAAGTGCTATTACCTTGTGACACCGTGAATTGTACAAGCCAAAGGTCTGCCTTTTCCTTTAAGTTTTTAAACGTGCACCCTCATTAAGTTCACAGATGACACTAAGTTTGGTGGAAGTGTTGATCTGTTGAAGGGTAGGAAGGCTCTGCCTGCCGTTCCTGATGAGAGTTTATCTTTAATTGCAAGACTTAGTCTATATGTTTTCCCCTGCTACTCTTCTGTGGGGAATGTGCTGAAGACTGAATCTTTGAGTCAAAGGGTAGCAAGAGCATTTTGGTCTGGAAGCCATTTCCCCAGTCTTTCTAGACCCTGCCCAGTGTGAAGCACCCTTTTATCCTCTGTTACATCTGATTACATCTGAAATGAAATGTACGTGTTTGTGGACATCTGTAGAATGGTGCTGACAGCTTTGGAAACTGAAAACAAAACACCCGAGTGTATCTATGTGCTCAGTGGAACAATGAGGTATAGACTGCATGTGTGTTTGTTTCTCACATTGAAAAAGAAAAAAGTATTTATTAAAAAGTATTGTTGATGTCCTTGTTGGGCCCTAACGTTATCTTGTTCCTGAAAAACTTGCTGAGGGAATTTGAATGTTACAGGAACGGGAGGATATGGTTGCAAGTTCTGCTCCATCCTGTGTTGTTTTGGACCCTGGCCATCAGGAAACATTTTGTCTATCTCAGAGATGAAACACTTTCTATTCAGAAGTATTATTATGAGCAAGATGTGTAAATAATCTGTGGCAAGGAGCTACTTTGTTACAGAAAGGGACATCATCCCAACTTTTCCTTTCTTTGATGAAATTTTAAAGAGAGATTTCTACAAAAGATGTGCCGGAGGGGAATTTGCAAGGTTTGCATTGACCTACATAAACCTTAGCTGAACATAAAAGTAGCTTAAAAGTTGTTTCACTCTGTTTCTGTCTCCCTTTGTACTTTATCAACCACTGATCTTTATTCTTTGTTAATTCATACATGTTTAATGCAGCACTGCAAATATTTTTCCTCACTTCCAAAACTATTCATAAAAATAAGATTGGGTGAGAATATTTGAAAGAGCTTTGTTTGTAATTTTTTTGCCTCTCCTGAGCTTGTATCTAGAAAATGGAAATACAGTCTTCTACCTACCACAGAGGAATGGAAATAAATCATAATGCAAGTGCTTTCTAAAGCAATTACATATCCTGGAGTAGGAAAACTAACAGATCAGTATAACATTTTGTTGCATAGCTTGAGGTTTATTTCAAAAGATTGATTCTATGTAGACATTTGCTTTTGTATCTTAACTAGTAATTTTACCGAATGTATCTAATTTGGATGAAAAGTTATGTGGTTGGCCTGATCCATTCCTGGCATGGAGAGGAGGGGGGAAAGCAGGAGAAAGACGGTTTGAAGCAAAGGGAACAGAAAACCTTGTGGAGAAAAAAAAACAAGATTGCCATATACTTCTGCAACTAACAGTCTCAAGAATATGTTTTTGCAGAACCAGAAATTAAATAAGGATAGAAAAAGAATAGTCGTGCCTTTAAAATAATTTTGGAAACCCAACATGAATTAACTGTGCAACTAAATGACCATCACATTATAATTTCTTCTTACAGGCAGTTTCAATATTAAATATTTTATGGTGGTTAGTGTTCATACTTAGTTTGTGAAATAGGGAAATATTAAGCCAAGAGTTCCATGGATTGTGAAGCAATGAAGTTATTACAGGTTGTGGAGCAACAGCCACACTGGATATAAAAAGCCAATAAAATTCAAAACCTGTTGATACAACTTAGAAGTGGAAAAACTGCCCTGGGAACCAACACCTAAGATCTTCCTAGCATTGGTTAGCTACATGCTGCCCAGTTTTCTGGTGTTGACACTGGATTAAAGGCAGCTAATACAACCTTTCTTTATGGCATTTGCTGTGGTTCCTGCAGTGTTTACAGTTGTGAAAGGGAGTGGAGATGGAAATATCTGAGAGACAGACTGAGCTGTAAAATAGAGGAGGACAACAACAATAATTCTTCTGGACCTTATTTTCTTTACTTATGTTGTCACATCTTCTGCCTCACTCCCACATAGTTCCGTATTTTATCCCCTCCCCCAGTAAAAATGTAACATACAAGGTAAAAGTTTTCATCAGTCTATCTGAAAGCGCTCTGCAATTGTTCCTTGTTGTAAAAGTGTTATCAAACTCCTCCTGTGAGCCTCAAGATGCAAGTGTATAGTTTCACTTAAGAAATGGCCATTACCAGGGGACTGGAAGGCATGTCTCACCACAGTCCCTTTTCATCTCTCCTCTGATGTGTCTGAGCCTCTCGCTAAAACTTCTTGTTCAAAGGAACACAGGGAGACCCTTCAAACCCTTCTGAAGGGTCATCTTTTCCCAGCCTACCCAAAAAATCATGCAGTCTCCATGCCAAATGGAATGACTGACTCTACTTGCAGAGATGGAAACAAATATTATTTCCTATGTTATTTTTAAATTAATACTATTCTATGATGATTTAAGAAACTTTACCAACTGAAGAGACTGCACAAATTTGTTTTAGATACTCTCAGTCTTAAGACTTTATCATCTGGTAAAGGTGAAACTTCCTTCATATTAATGACTGGAGATATAGGGTCCCTCATAGGGCTCAAATTTTGGGCAAGAATTGATGTCTTGCATCAAAATAATCTGACTTGCATACCACTAAGTGTGACTAGTAGACTGCAGTCAAGTTATTTATTAATTTCAAGGTTTTCAAAGCCAGTGGAGATATCAGCATCAGATTCTTTTAAATCCTCCTTTACTCCAACAGTCCAAAACATTAATTTCCAGTGCTTAATGATCACAGAGGGGCATATGGTTTAAACATGGTTTTAAAAAAAAAAAAGCTTTCAATACAAGCTTTACCTCTGTCATCACATCTGTCTGCCTTTTGCCATTAGGCAGACAGTGTATTTACCTTTGAAGTCCTAAGTTTGCAAAGGTGCCAGTCATGCTCTATTAGTACTCCCTAATCTCCATAATGCCACTTAGTTGAGGGAATAATGCAATATTTGTTCTTTAGTTTTAAACTAATGGTTTCTAATGAGTGGCAGGGTCTTCAATGTTGTAAAAGTCTGTTTTCATCTTAAATGACTGGGGCCAAGTCACTAAAATGGTAGATGGTGAAATAACCTAGCAAGCTTATTTCAGTTTCCCTAACCTATATAATAACATTTTCCCACATTTTTAATTTTTTCCCTCTCTTAATTAAATGTGGAAAAATGTTATTCACTAACTCCAAACAGTGAATTCTCTGAACTGTGATATCTGAAAGGAGATTAAAGTATTTCTGAAGTAATTTAGGGTTAAAAGAGACTTTCTGGAGACAATCTAATACTTACAGAAGAGCCTGTGGGAAGCTGAATATCTGAGCTCTGGTCTTAACCACATCCCACCGTGTGGCCTGGTTTTTAGGGGCTAAATATACTCCAGGGTTTGCTGCAAATCCCCTTTATTGAGTGGTCAGATGGAATGTTAACAAATTACATTATGATACCCACTGTCACAGAAACAGATAGTTTAAGCTTTTTACTCTGGTTCTTTCTGTTCAATCTTCCTTCCTTCCTTCCTTGCTTCCTTCCTTCTTCTGAATGCAACATAATACCTTTTAAGACCAGCCATAACAGATTCCAAACTCCCAGGGATGTTTTAATTATCCATGGGATCAACCCTGTCAATTTTGGTGCTAGACTAGAAAATGAGTAAAGCTTAATTTCTACTAAAATCAGATTAAAGAAGGATTCTTTAAATGCCTTCAGTGTAAGCCCTCTACAGCTGTCGAGCTATCTGTCCTTTTCCTTAGAAAACAGTGCATTGACTCCAGAGCTCACGAAACTGTGATGTGAGAATAGGATTTTTAGACTATTTTAGCCAATTGCATTGCATTTGTGATTGCAATAAATTTAGGGAAAAAAAGAACCCCATCTGTTTCACATCTGTACCTTCTCCCTTTAGTGAAAGCTGTTATGCATACTTAAAAATACCTAGGGAATTCTCTAAAAGGCTGGGTATGTTTCATATATTTTTGAGGTTGAAAAAGAGTCGACTTCTTGTCTGTCTTCAGAACAAGCTGTTAAAGTCTCTCTCAACCAAAGAGAGAGGTCAGGGATGATCAGTACTGCGTGTTCTCTGCTGCTCTAGAAAGATGTTCCAGAACCATTGCATGGCTGGGCCATTTTATAAGACTAGCATGTTAATCATTATTCAGGTTTTAAATGTCACCAGGTTTTAGAAAAATACTGGCTTTTTGACTTAAACCTTGTGGATTTTCAAAGGTTTTTAATATTAGATAGGAGGAGGGCACTTCACAGTCTCACAACTGAGAGTTGGACTTGTTTTTAATAATGTGAGACTAAGGAGGACAGGATGCCCTTGCTAACAGAGAATGCACAAATAGCTGGAGGATCTAACTTTTCATTAGTATGGTATTTTAACACAAAGCTTTCACGAGTTAGGGATTCATCCAGGAACCTTTGGGAGATGCCAAAACACTGCAGGTGGACTCCTCCATTGGTTTTAGTGGTAGGAAGCAAAGATAATTTTGGGGGTTTAAGGCTATGCTTTCAGTGAAACTACAGCAGAATTTCCATTGATTTAAACACAAAACCAAGATCATGCTTAATGCCATGCTTAATGATGGATTCCTGACTGGAATGATTAATTTCTGCTCTCCCAAAACACTATACAGTATTCTAAGAGAAGTAGTATTTGCAGGTGTCATATACACAGTTTAATATTTTTTTTCTGAAAGGCTTGGGATTTAGTTAAATATTCACTTCTATTAGAAGTAATATTTGCAAGGGACATATGCACAATTTTTTTTTTCTGAAAGGTTTGAGATTTAGTTAAAATGAGGTAGCTAAAAATGTTTCCATTTAGTAATTTCTAACAGTCATTAGACCATTCTATACTTTCACCACACACGCACATTACCTTAAATACTTGCTGCACTGTTAGATTGGTATCATGGGCAGAATTACCCAATGGCACTTCTGAAATATCATTCCTTTATCTATATCCTTCAGCTACTCTTCAGTATATTTCTCAAGCAAAGGCCAATTAGTATTCAAAACTTCATATTACAATTATATTTGGAAAATAAGCAGTTTTCTTAACATTAATACTTCCAATTGCTGCCTGTGCTCTGCTTACTTAGGACAAAGTGCTGTATTTCTCTGTAGCCTGATGTGTCACTGTTTCATTGCAGAAGGATGACTGTGGATCCCAAGAAGGTTTGCTGACAGGTGATTTCTCTGACACCTTGGAAGACAAGAAAGGACATTCCCAGCATGTTCTGCACACCTCCACCTGGGTGCACAAGCTCAATCCAGACAAAGTTCATTTATTCTGATGGATGGAGTATCCACAAAGACTGGGTTTGTAACGAGGCCAGAAATGTGTGGTGTGACAATCAGCTGTCCTCCTCCTGGAAGTTTCTCAGTGAGCTGTGCATGCATGAACACACATTTCTTTTTTTCCTCCCACACACAAAAGCTCTGTGTCAAGTTGTTTGAGTGAGTTGTGACACGTATTAATGTTGTTGGCTTCTAATGTTGTTGGGTTCTTTCCACTGGGGGCTGACTACTGCAATCCCATTGGAAAAGTTTTCCACCAAACTCAGAAATAACTTTCATTAAAACTCTATCCAGACACCCTCAAGCATGAGTGTTTTTCTACTCATGAATGTAAGCAGCAAAGAAAAGCAGTAAATCGCTTTGAATAATGTGCCAGTGCTCTACTGTTATGTAACTGTCATTCCTAAGTAAAAGATGCCTATTTACCAATTAAAAAATAATGGCAAGGATTTAAGGGATTTTTAATTAATTCTGCTGCTTCCAGAATATCTATTAGATAAAATCTGTTGAATTTGGATCATTGACCCTTTACTTGAAAACTGTTTTTACAAATGTTCTCCAGCAAATACATTGAGTACTTAACTTCCCCTATGAAAACCACAAAAAACTGTATACCAAAATACAAGGATTAAGGGCCAGAGCCATGACAGATCCAGACTTGGACGGGGATATGAAAACACCTCATTGAATGTACTTGATAGGATAATTTCTTTTCACCAATATACACTGTTTGACTACAAATAAATACAGGACATAAGGAATTGTTCAATATTTTTATAATAGTAGAATATTTCCATTGCCTTGAAATGCTTAAAGAACTGTGAAGTTGTGTTACTGATGAACATAGGGTTACTACAAGAAGCTTCACGCAATTAACTTATACAACAAAGGAAACACCAGCTTTTGTCAGGGAGGACTTGGATCTTCCATAGAGCTGCAGGAATTTGGGCAGTTGGGAGAAGACCCTGTAGCCTCTTTCTTAGCAGCCTTCCAATGAGATCACCGTGGAAGTCTCTTGTGTAAGACCCCTGCAGGTAGTGCTGGTCTGTTTGTTTTAAACTCTTTGATACAGGATAATTCAAGTGGGTAGTCAATATGAAGTTTTATCATCCTCTGTCCTTGGATGTCTCATTAAGCATGACTTGCTGTCATTGGGATTTTAAATGCCAGAAGGCTTCTCAATTACCTCAATTATCTTTGCCCAAGGAATGATTGCTATTTCCAGGCACGCATCCTGTTGCCCGCAGTTTCTCACTCAGGTTTTTCTGGCATCATTCTTACATTAATAGCCCTTACCACAGCATACATCAGACTAACAACTGTCCCACGGTACCTCCTGAGCACACTGCAGCACTGACACAGTTCCTGCATGTGTTCTCTAACTCTCCTGCTTCCACCCTATTCTAGGAACTATTGGAAGCTTCATTTTATTTAAAACCCTCAAATTATAGAAATCGTGCATATCACATGGAACACATTCTATCCAAAAAACATTTATTGAAATTTCTTCTCTGATTAAATAGACCATCTGTAAAAGGGAGTTATATGGGGAAAAAAAAGTAGATTAAAAAGTTATCACAAAGTATTTACAGAAAAACAAGGAGTGAAATGTGTCAAATTGTTTCTGTTCAGTTCCCTGTTCTAGTAGCTTATCTGGACATAACTTATTTGATAAAATATGGGTGAAAATGAAAAATATTTTATGAATTTCAAATGTATGCCCTGTCATGCCATTTTGTACAGAATGTTGCCTAAACTGTGTGGGACATACAGTTTCAGTGCCAAGATCTGTAGTAATATTTTGGCTTCTAATGCCTAAATTCCCATTTACTGAAGCAGGACCTGGGTCCTAAGAAACAAACCCAAGACAATATTTACTTTCACTTAAAACTATCACCAGCTGGTTTTGTGTTTTTTATTGTAGAACAGAATTTTCTTGTTATATTTAATCCTTAAATGTGTAAAATATATATAGCCAGCTAATATTGTATAGATTTTGAGAGCCATATGCAGACCTTAGACATGCTGAAAACATATGCAAACTGTTGCATAACAGTGAAACAACAAAAACATAATCACAGCCTAATTTTTCTTTCATTCATTACTAACACTGATACCCCCTTTCTCCCTGAAAGAAATTCACAGCAAAATATTAATAGGAACATACTGTTGACTAAACATCTGCGGATCTAAGTAAGAGCCATCTAAGCTTGGATAAACACTGACACAAAGAAAAAGAAAAGTGAGTATTAGAGTTCAAATTACCAAAAAAAAGGCACTGAAGGAGTAATCTAGGAACTTATACTGAATTTTCTAAAGTTGTCGTTTTTGAGGAAGTAATACAGTCTTTTGCTTTATTTAGGAGTAAAAAAGAACCTGTCTCCCTCTGCTGGTTTTTAGAGAAAAAAAAGTTTGTAGATACTAAAAATGTCCTAGCTGAACTTTTGATACAAATCATCAGTTGTTCCAGAATTAGATCTTAAAACTTTTTGCCTTCAAATACATAGGGGTCACCTTGAGGACATCAGTGTATTGATTAGCTGAGGATTGGTAGACTTTTATAGTATTTATTCTGGTTAACCTTAGTTTCTCAGTATATTTAACAATTTCTTTATATGTACATCTTTAAGAAAATATAATAAGATAAATTTAAGCTGTTTTGCCTTTAATTCAAACATCCTGAAGAGCAGCCTAACACTGGAGTCGTAGATGTAGACTCATAATTCTCCTTTCCTGCATTGTCTGGAAAGGACTTTACAATTCAAATAAAGCCTTTCTCTTTCACATATGAGTTTCTAAACTGCTCCATAGCTGTAAGTCACAGGTCATAAGGCTTTTGAAGACACACACACACAAGAATGGCTACAGCACTGAGCACAGCTCACTGGCTGTGACAAGCGCAGGAGGGTTCTTTGGGATTGCAATGCCGAGGTTGGCTGCTCCCTGCTCCAGGGGGTGCTCACACCTGGCTGCCACGCAGCGATGCGCTCCCCGCCCCTGCCCTGCTGTCACCTCGCGGTGCCATTCCCCCAGACCGCTCCACGAGGCAGTGAGACACCCACACGTGGTGTGTGCCACGGAGAGTGTATCAGCAGGTGAACTTTGTGTTGCAATCTGCATCCCGATGAACGAATGCTCGGGAATTTCCACGCTGCACGAAGTGAGCACCACGTTCTGGAACACGTCATGGATTCTGCGAAAATGTTTTTGTCCCTGGTACGATACGCTCCGTCTTCCTACTGCCAGAGGAAAAGTATTTGTCCTTTAAGAATCCCTGTGCTCCTACAAACAATTTCTTGTTCAGAAAAAGGATGTTCTAATAATAGACATCAAGTTTATTCCTTCCAGTTAAAGGCAAGTAGCAATTCCAGTAGTTCAATTGAGGCATTCATCTGTTAAATCTGAAGAGCTTACCTGAAAGCATTTGAGGCTGAGAAGAAAATTAAGGAAATTTTGGGTTTAAAGTGGGTTGTTTTGAGGTTTTTATGTATTGTTCCTTTTTGTTTTGATGGGGGGGTTGGTTAGTTTCTTGTTTTGTTTGGTTTGGTTTTGTTTTTGTTTTTTATTGTTATCATCACCAAAACACATTTGTTAAGCTTTGTTATACGCAGCCATCCTTTTGGTCTAGGTATACATCAAGCTTCCTTGTATCCTAAGTATTGTTTTAAAAGGCATCTGCTAGCTGCAGTTTGTTGCATTTCCAGTTAATGCCACCGTCAGTGTTAGTTACACAAGTTGATTTGATTTTTGCATATGTTGTGTGGGATTGCTTTTGGGATGTTTGAGTATCAACATAGTGAGCACGGTGCTTACTTTCTCCAAATATTTGACCAAAGTCTCTCGTTTATTCTGCCTGTGTTATGCAATATAAATTTTCATAAGAATGGTACTTAGTAACTTGTGGGTTTTTTGCAAGATATAGCTTTACCCAGTGTCTCCTGAGAGCTACTGTGGCATTTGGTCAGTGTATCACAGACAAGACACACAGTAGCAAGGCAGTGAGCCTGCTAAGACACACATATTGTGCACTGATTTTACACGGGTGTATTAATAACTTCCTGTATGAGAAATATTTTAAAACTGATGTCATGTTTGCATGTGGGAATGTGTAACTTGTAATCATCCATTCCTAAGCAAGTCTGCAGGCTATGCCATTGTTCCCTTCCTTGACTCAACTCTCTAGGGTATAGAATCACTCTACCTGGAACCTGAGCTTCCAATGCCAATCAATTCTCACTCGAGAGTTATTTTGGCAGTTATTTTGGCTGCCCAGCTATGGAGAACACTGCATGGCATCTGATATACAAATGCTGTTTCTAAAACTGGCTGGTACTGGCTTTAGAGTGCACCCAGTAATCGGTACCTATGTAATGTGAATTTAACTGAGAAACAATGAAAGCAGAGGCAAAAGTACTGATGCTGGGGTTGCTCTTCAGTGTAAGGTGCTGGCCTGTATCAGCACTAGGGAAGTGATTGTCCGCTGTACTCGGCATTGGTGAGGCCACACCTGAAATCCTGTGTCCAGTTCTGGGCCCCTCAATTCAGGAAAGACATTGAGGTTCTGGAGCATCTCCAGAGAAGGGCAACAGAGTTGCAGAAGGATCTGGAGCACAAGTCCTATGAGGAGCAGCTGAGGGAGCTGGAGGTGTTTAGCCTGGAGAAAAGGAGGCTCAGGTGTGACCTTATTGCTCTCTACAACTACCTGAAAGGAGGTTGTAGCCAGGTGAGGGTTGGCCTCTTCTCCCAGGCAACCAGCAATAGGACAAGAGGAAATAGCCTCAGGCTGTGCCAGGGGAGGTTCAGGTTGGACATCAGAAAAAATTGCTTCACTGAAAGGGTGGTCAGGCATTGGAGTGGTGGAGTCACCATCCCCGAAGATGTTCAAGAAATGACTGGACTTGGCATTTAGTGCCATGGTCTAGTTGACAAGATGGTGATTGGTCAAAGACTGGACTTGGTGATCTTGGAGGTATTTTCCAACCTTAATGATTCTGTGAAAGCAAATGAAGGAACAGCACATTCAGTTTGTGTTCAGAACAATAAAAGGAAATCAATACCTATTTAACATAAAGTATCTTTAGAACATTTTGAAAGAAAAAAAAGGGATAATGCTAAAAAGCATGGGTTTAAATTATTAAAATAAATGCAGAATAGAGGAAAAATTTCTGACAAGAATGAAATAATTTCTTAGGAAAGACATGGAAGGTTCTTACAGTTATCGTGGTACTGGGAGGCAGGGTTGATAATAGTCTAAAATTCTGCACTAATCCACAGAATGAACCAAATCATCTTTCCTATCTCAACTAGTACAATTCATATTTGACCTGCTTGTAATGTCACATATTAGGTAACCTTATGGATAGTGATCAGTCAAAGAGTCATGATCGTAGAATCATAGAATTATAGAATGGCTTGGGTTGGAAGGGACTTAAAGTTAGTTCCAACATGATCTTGTTGAAATTGTTGGATGTAGCAGCTGCCTTTTGTTCAGTCTAAGCAGATTAATGCTCCTCTGGTTAGAGATGGATGAAACATTGACAAATGGTTGTCCCAGGGCTAAACCATGTGGCCAGTGAGTTGGAGGTGTAATTGGGAGCAATTAATGTGACCTGCATGTGAAGGGGAAAGCAGCATAAGCACCATGGTACTGATTTGCACCAGGAGCTGCTGGTCTTTGACAATCCCAATAAGAAAGGCACTGTGCCTCTGTGAAGTATCATTTGAACTGCTATTTATTACAACCAGCACTATGAGGAAAGAGAGGATAGCACAGATAATCCTACAACCCTGTACATGCTGGGAACCCTCAGCTGTGCAGCATCAAGTGGGCACAGCACGCTCCACAGAACCCATCCCTGGAAAAGGGTTTCCCATGTCAGGTGTTACAGCATTCTCCTGCAAGACAATAATTCTGTCCATTATTTCTACTGACAAAGGGAAAGGGTGTTGACATGGGAACATCTTGCTGCACTTTTGGATAAAGCCAAGGACCCGCAGATGGTGCAATCACTGGTAGCAAGTGGGAGCTGCCTATAAACTCCCGGTATAATGGGCTACAAAGTTTATCCTGTGGCCAAGGGAGACAAAACAGGTCTGAAGGCCAGGCAGCATAGCACAGTCTGATTGTTATGTGGGTCACTAACTCCTCCAAACACAGTGCTCCTGGGGCCAGGATCACCACAGGAGCCCAGCAGAGGAGGTGGCAAGGAGACATGACTGTCAGGAGAAAGACTCTAAAATGCAGTCTGAAAAGAAGGTATATTTGGACAGACAGTCTGGAAAGAAACCTGGAGCTTGAGAGAAAAGTAGTTTTCTTCTACTGTATTCAAACCTGGAGCAGAATTGGCTTATTGATTGTCAGTACTGGAATGGCACTAGAAAGGATTGATATCTCCTCTTAATAAATGACAGCCTGAAAAAAGTCTGTTCATAAGGGTAGTAAGAACTCTGGTAATATTTTAATCTGTGTAACTAAAGAGTCATGCCTATGGTGCTTCTCCAGGAACACATTTTGTGTCAGCCTTCCAAGTTTACATTTTGCTCTTGTTGAAATCACCTGCAAGGGCTTTCATTGACCTTACTGGTGCCAGGTCAAGATTTATTCAACAGAGAATGCTTAGATGCTATAATGGTGGGGCTTATATACAATCACGCAGAATCACAGTCAGCAATGTATTTCTGACTAATTTTTGTTAATTCATTTATATGACACTTTTTCATGTGTCTTCTACGCTTCACTAAGTGTTTTGTATTTTTCAGAATTTTGGTGTGCTAAAAATGCTGAATAAAACACTGAAATATTTGCTTATTTTAAGTAGTATCCTCTGAGTGGATGGAATATAAAGTTATTCCCTCTGGAACTCTTTTACATCTACATTACAAATCATAT